GGGGATGCGATGTATAATAGTGATAGCTCCAACCTAACCTGTTCAAATAAACCACTGAGGGGAAGAAATGTGAAATGGAATGAGGAAAATATGTTGATATGGAACATCACAATTGGTACCAGAGATATTTTATGGATATAGAACAACTCTTAGAAAAAGGCAAAAAAAGTCATGAAACCACCTTAACCAGCAAACATGTGATCTCCCACATCGGTGGAAAGCCAAGGGCAACACTGATTTAGAAAAATTAAATTTAGGGGAAAAACCCTCACTGGTTTGCAAATCTTTACAGAGGGGGATAATACAAGATTATGAGTAGTATTGTCCCACAAAACAATGAGATGCAGTAGAGGAAAAAACAGTTTTGCAGATAGCTTAGTATGAAATCCGCTTAAATCAGATTATCTGAAGAACATTTAAAGATGAAACTTGAATAAGATCAATAAATAGGTGAAAATTCAAGCAGATACTTCTGCATTTCTATACCAGACTATTTTTTTAAAACCAATGCCACCAACCACCATGTTTGGATTTCATGAAGAAGTGGAAATGGTGCTAAAGACAAAGGGAAGAGCAACCGGACGTAAACATGTATATAAAGAGAAAATTCACACCAGAGGCAACCCAGTTTGAAAACATTGAAGCATAGATTCTCAGGATATTCCAAAGAAAGGAAGTCACAAAATAATTTTGGGAAAAGTGATCAATTACTCATCTACATGTCTATTTTTATATGCATATGATTTATTTGAATGATATAAAAATTGAGGGTATCTTTAAAGAAAAAAGAAATAGGAAGACTTTCACAAATTATATTCTACAGCAGATCACATCTTTGCAAATCCTGCTGTTTATGGTTTGTTGATTACTTTTAAAGTATTTGATCAGTAGAATGAAAAGCATTCATATAGGCTGTCCTCCAAAAAGGTGTCTTACATGTTATTTGTTAAAATCATATAGGATTTCTTCAAAGACTTCTCAATAAGAAATCACTGCTCAACAATCCTCTATCAATAGTAAGTGAGTGATGTATAGCTTAGCTCAAGTGATTCCTCATACTCTAGGCCTTTCCAAATATTAGTTGCTAGTACCTCCCCCACCAAAATTATTATATAAATTTTGTATATATGACCATATACACATATAAATAAATGAATACATCCATATAGATAGCTATGCTTAGTTGTTTTCAATTGTATCTGACACTTCATGATGCCATTTGGGGTTTTCTTGTCAAAAACAGTGGAGTGGTTTGCTATTTCCTTCTCCAGCTCATTTTACAGATAAGCAAACTGAGGTGAATGGGGTTAAGTGCTTGCTAAGGGTCATACAGTTAATAAGTGTGTGAGGCCAGATTTGAACTCAGAAAGATGAGTCTTCCTGACTCCAGGCCTGGCATTCTATCCATTGCACTACCTAGATGTCCAATAGATATGTGTGTATGTATGTGTGTTTGTAGATATATGTATGTATATATTTATATTTATATGCACACACACACACACACACACACACACACATATATATATATATATATATATATATATATACACATTCCTCAAGGACAGAGACTGTTTCACTTTTTTCTGTATTCTCAGTGCCTGGAACATTATAGGTGCTTGATAAATGTTTATTGATTGATCTAACATTCTTCTGACAATATCAAATGATGCAGAAAACAGGATGATATATGCTCTTCTAAACTGTTCAGCTTTTCAAGAAGAATGTCTACTACAGAGTCCAAATAAAAAAAGGATTTCTAATAGGTGATGAAGTTCTCCTAATGCTCCTGTATATGGATAACACTGGGCTGGTAGCATCATATCCTGAAACATTACAGAACCTATTAAGTGAAATATGCAATCACTCAAAAGAGTTTTCTCCACAGAGAAAGAACAGTGTGTAATGTCAGTTTTCCAAACTGTATGATACGAAGCTGAGTGGACAGTGCAATGAGTTGGTGATCAGTACACATACCTTGAACACATACTGTTGATGAGCAATGTGCGGGACCTAGAACTGAGTAGAAGGAAGAGAGTAGACTGACTTGCATTTGGGAAATTGCACAGCACTGTCAATACTCCCAAACTGCCTCCTGAAACAAAAACCTAGCTTTTAACATCAAATTCTAATGGCAGTGCTAGATGGCTACGAATTGTCAAGTAACCTCTAAAGAATCAAAATTGTAGGTAACCTAAAAGGCAATGGAGAAGCTTAAGCTAGGTATAAGTAAGTTTTACCAGATTACCAGTGAAGACTTATATGTGCAAGAGGTGACAAAAAATATCATCAAAGTGGTATTTATTTGGTTTTCCAAACAAACTGATCCAGGTGAACCTTCCATGTATTGAATGTGAAGGTTAACTTATAGCCAGTCTAAGTCCTTCATTGGTACTCATGTAATGCTAAAAGACCCGAAGGAAAGTCTCTAGGCTATTGGCCAGACTCCCCATGGAGTATTTTTGGGAAGACACGGATAAAAGCTAAACAAAATGAGAAATTGTAAATGGGTTTCAAGCTTCACCAACTTCACCATTCACATGAGTACCCTCATTGATGTTAACAGATGTATACAAATATTGAAGATGTATAGTTTCAGGGTAATAAATTCTTTTATTGTACTCTTTTGTGTAAAGCATGAATTTATTATATGTCACAAATTGACTTCTTTTAATAATAAAATGACTTTTTTTTGCTATCTGGTTTCTTATAAGCTTAGAAAATTGGGATAGGCTGGGGAGAAGCCATGAGTCCATGAAAGCTGCTGTTACAAACAAGGCTGGTGACCTCATTCTGCTTTGTAGAAGGCTCCTAGAAACTACAATGCCACTGACAGTTTATTTTCTATTCTTTTGCTTGTATTTTGTTGTCTTTTGATGAAGTAGCAATGACGCTCAACCTAAGCATGGTTAAGATAAGAAAACTGCGTTAAGTGTGGTAATTCTATCTCTCTTATGCAGGACAACGTTTTTATCTGCCAGGGTACCTAGGATGGATTTCTTTTTTCTTTACTTAAAAATGTCATAAGAATCTAAAGCTCTCAACAGTTTTGTCCAATGTTTTCACTATGCGGATACCCTGTGATGTGGTGTCCAGAGTACTTAACGTCTTGAAGGCATATACTAGTCTTGCTACTTGCCATGTGAAGCTAGACAAGTCCCTTAACCTCCTAAATCCCGAGTTTCTCCAAATGTAAGACAGGTATACCATTGTTCAACTTGTTTATTTCATAAGGTCATCAGAAGAACAAATATAATATGTATAAAGGGATGTATATATTTAATCTCTATAAAGAGTTAAATCAACTTCTCCTGTGTAACTATTCCCATTTTGCCTTATGTTTTCTAGACTATACATGAGCAATTCATAATCATTCACCCATAACATAAAATGTTAGAATTTACAAATTTCTGTGAGAGTGGGCTGATATGGTGTAAGGAGCACTGGACTAGGAGCCAGAGAGTGTGGACTGGAACTCTGGCTGTATTTATTTGGGATCTTGAACAGTTTGCTTTACCTTTCTAAGACTCAGCTTCCCCTTCTGTAAAATGAGTGAACATATTATCAGAGGAACTGAATAAAATCAATCGATATTGTTGCTATAAATGAAGCCAGAGTACAAAAGGACATTGGGAATAAATGGAAGGATGACTCACTTGTACTCCTCAGAGACGCAAATCAAAGGGCTGGAAGAGTTGACTCGGTTGTCTAAAAGTAAGAAGATATTACATTAAAGTTATGGTTCACCAAAAGGGAAATATAAAGGTGTATGGTTGTCAGGAAGGTGCTGCACATATTAGTGATGAAGAATTACTCAGAAGAAGCGGAATAAAGGATGTCATCAATGAGATGTATGATGGGGAAAAGAAGTGGCATGGTCATATAGCAAGAACAAAGGATAATGAGCAGATAATGTGTTCTACTGGTTTCCACAAAATGCAAAGAGAGGCTGAGGAAGGTCCTTAGCATATCACATAGATGGCCTGGGGAAGATTTATGAGCAGACATGAACAAAACTGACATAGCATAAAAAGGTATGTTTGGATTGTGCACCATTGGAAGGAATATCTACACTGATGAGATCCCAGATTCTTTAGAGCATCAAAGAATGCTCTTTCTGTGAGGTAGGTAGTACAAGTATTATGCTCTCTGTTTCCCTGATGAAGAAACTGAGGCTCGAGTCAAGTGACTTGCTCTTGGTCACATGGCTTATAAATCTTGAGTTCAGGTCTTCTGACTCTAAGAAAAGTCTGTGCCCTTTGCAAAACAGAGTACGAACTCTCTAGCAAGACATACTGGACCATCAGGATTATAGCAATCACAAAGCTTGGCATTTCTCCAGCCAGAGTCCTCCAAAGAGCTCAGCATTTTCATGTCTTCCTTTGATGAAATTTGTCATGCCATTTCTAGAGATAGAAACAGAATTCGAGAAATGTGAGGTGACTTGCCCAGGATGTCATGGTAATCCCTCTTCTATATTTTTGAGGGGGTCCAGACCTATGATTTCATTGGTGTAGGGAATTTCCAGTGAGAAATATATAGCAGTTATATAATGCTTTAAAAAATCATCACAACAATGCTGGGAAGTAGAGTGGTATTATTATCCCTATTTTATAGATGAGGAAACTGAGGCAGATAGAGGTTAAGTGACTTGCCCAGAGTTATACAGCTAGTAAGTGTCTGAGGCCAGATTTGAACTTTGGCCTTCCTGTCCACAGGTCCAGCACTCTACCTTCTACACTACCAACCTGTTCAGAACGTTGATTCCATTTACCTATACATATCTGCAATCTAATTCCTTAGGAAGTTTCCAGGGACATTAAGAGGACAGTCAGTATGTTTCACAGGTAATATTTGAACCCAGGTCATCCTGACTCCAAGACTGCCTCTTTATCCACCACACCACACTATATCAACTTAAAAACATTTTAAATCATGATACTTGATTGTTATCCTAGGACTCTTTTATAATAAAAACACTCTTGATTCTCTATTTCTAGGTGTGTGTCCTTGATGAAGGATGGAATTTCTCCTTGTACCATTCAGACCTATTACTTGGCTGCCTGCAAGGTAACTCATTCTGGGGACCTACCACATAGGGGGCTTAGTTTTTATTACCTCTAGCATTAGCTCTCCTCTACTCAAATAGTCAATGTATGTGTTTCTATTTAGCATTTGATACATGCATAAATAAGAGGGCAGCTGTGTACCACAATTGATAGAGTGCTGAGCCTAGAGTCAGGAAGACTCACCTTCCTGAGTTCAAATTTGGCCTCGGATGCTTACTAACTGTCTGGGGCAAGTTACTTAACTCTGTTTGCCTCAGTTCCTCCTCATCTGTAAAATGAGCTGGAGAAGGGGAAGAATGAGTTGGCAAACCACTCTAGTAATTTTGCCAAGAAAAACCCAGATGGGGTCATGAAGAGTCAGACATGGTTGAAATTATTGAACAAGAACAACAACATAGTTTGAAAAGTTGGAAATGATCTCAGAGGTTGTCTAGTTCAACCCATTCTTGAACCAGAAGTCCCTCTACTATCCAGACAGGACAAATCACTCCAGACAGGGTCTGACTAAGACAGAGTACAACAGGATTCTTACTTTCCTCATTTTAAATATTCTGTCACCCTGTTGATCCATATCAGGATTTTCCCCCTCAAATCAACTTATCTAACTTCTCCTGATTTTGCAATTGATTTTTTGAACCAATTAGTAGAACTTTACATTTGTCGTTATTAATTTTCATCTTAGATTTACTCCATCATTCTAAGCTGTCAAGATCTTATTAGATCATTTTGGAAGTCAAAGAATGTTATGGTTGAAACAATATTAGAAAGATCCTCTACTTCAACCGCCTATTTTTACATTTGAGAAAATCGAAGCACAGAAGAAGCAGCAGCTTTTCCAAATTGTATCACTGGGGCTCAAACTCAGATCTTTAGATTCACAGAGTGCAAGATCATTTGCAAATAAGGAAAGTGAGTCTACAGAACCTCTCTCTCTTATGATATCGCCCCTTCCCTTTTAGAACACTTCTTCCTCCTAGGATTTTCAAGTTGTCCCAAGATAGACTCCCAAATCCTTCATTCTCTAAAAATTGCCAACCCTTTCTTCCTTTAAAAATGTATTTTTCCTCTGCCCCCACCCCCAGAGCCCTGTCCTCAGAGGCTGGTTAATCTGATAAACTAATATATTTAAGAGTATACTGGCCTGCTCATACATAACCAGCACGTGGGAGCTGATTGTAAAATTTTCACTGTATGGACATTTGTTTTTGGAGAGGCAATTGCTAAACATTTACCAGCACACCCCTGTTAAGATGCTAATAAAAAGATCACTAGACTTAAGTCCGCAGACCTGGGTTTGAATCCCAGCTCTGCCATTTATGAGCTCGTTAAGATATTTTACCTCCATGACCTTTAGCTTCCTCATCTATAAAACATGGGTAACAAGACTTGCAATGGTGGTTGGGAGGATCAAGTGAAATGATATTTGTAAAAGACTTTGAAACAAAAGATGCAACATAGATGTCAGCTGTTATTCCATTCCTACTGCAGTATACATGCTGCCTTAACCCAAATGGGAGCAATTCTGACTGGTGGGAATGTCAGATAGCCAATGAGGCTAATAGGGGAGATATTTTTGGTGCATCTTTCAAATCCCATACGTTCAGGGGTGTGCTGGAGCCAGCTCATACTGGCTCAGGAGAGCTGATTGTTAAATTTTTAGCATGAGCATTTATAGCTTTGAAATCAGTAAATGCTATAGATCGGGATTTGATGTATTGTTTTGCTGATTGTCTAGACTTTAAAAAGCAATGGAGAAAATGTAGGGGAAAATGCAGATTATATTTAAAAGTGTGTCATATGTACAGTTTTCAGAGAACTCGTTGTTAAACAATTACCAGCATATTCCTGCATGCGTGCCTTCTCAAAAGGACCAGCTTTTTTCCTAATTGTGAAAACTCTCAACATCTAGAACGGTGCTGGTTACCTCAGATCTCTCATCTAGAACCTTCCGGACCCCACCCCCAGCATTATGAAAGAAATAGGTGGCATGAATCACAGCTAATCCCAATTTGTAGATTAATACTGAAGCACAAAGTCATTTAAAGAACTTTCCTGAATGAGAGAATAAAGTATCGAAAACATGGGGCCTAATTTCCTTTGGGCACAGTGGAAATATTGCTGGAATTAAGGACCTGGATTTGAATTCAGATTTTGCTGCCTACTAGCTGTGTGATGTTCTTCTGGGTCTCAGTTTGCTTAACTGTAAAATGAGGGGTTTTGTCTAGATGATCTCTGAAATCCCATTGAAAATTTGCTGAAATAACAGCAGACCTTTCTATCTTTCTCCTATTCTTCCTATCATGCACAAAACTTAGAAAAGAACCACCTCAAATATTTAATTTCCTTTGTTATTCTAGCCTTTCAAGTCTTCTTTTGTAATGTCCTGATTTGCTTGACTCTGCAGATTTGTTATAAGAGCTTGGCTTTCTTTCTTTTCCTTGTGGGGGAGGTGAGAGGGAGAGAGAATAAAGTGCCTGTTAAGTGAAATAAAAACTGTCAGCTGTGTTGTTAGTGAGCTCCATATAGGTTACAGTTTTATAAAACACCTGTTTTTTAATGGCTTGGTAAATGCTAGGTCTCACCACAAGGTGGTGCCCAGAGCTCATAAATACGTGCCTTGGCAAATCCCTTTTTCCATCTCAATCAGTACAAGGAAGAGTTACTGATCACGGCCTGTGAGAAGTGGCTAGAAATGAACTTGGTTCCCCTGATCGGGAAGCAGATTTATCTCCGGACAGTACCACAAGAGCTTCTCCAGAAAGTGCTCAAGTCCCACAGGTCAGTGGGTGGCCCTCAGTGAGTCTCTCTTTGACTGAGTATTGAAGGCTTGGGAGGGGGACAGAAATACAGCAGAACTGGATAATGGATGGGGAAAGAAAGGGGAAAGAAAAGGTTTTTTTAGGAGTTGCTAGTATTAGCACCCTCGCTTTTACTCCCTGAAAGCTTTAGGATTACACAGGGCAGGAGATGAAGTAGGAGGGTATATGGGTATCTCTTACAGTCTTGATTCCAGTCTCATGAAGGGAAACACATGTTATTCTCCTTTTTAAGTCCCAGACCATATTTCCTCTCTATGTAGATGAGGGGAGAGGGAGAATGGAACAGATTACAGTCATGGCCATGACCACAGATCCCAAGCAGGAAGGAACTTCATAGATTATCTAGTCCAACACTTTCATTTTACAGATGAAGAAACTGAGGAACAGAGAGAGGTGAAGTGACTAGCCCAAAGTTATACAGATAGTAAGCAGATCTGGGAACCTTTGTGGAGTTCCTCTCAGGGGTGGACGTGGGAGGCATCTTTCTATGCTCCATCCCAGAGGCTCATCATTCTTTCCACTGTATCTTACTATAAATCTCCACCCTAATTCCCCATTAGATCATGTAGAGACATTTCTTCCCCCGCCTCCTCCTGGATCAAACACTCCAAATTCCAAAGAATACTATTTATGGGCAGGACAAATTTTGAAAGTGAGAATTGAATTCTATTAGGGATCCTACTAGAATTTTAGGTGTGAATTTTGAAATAAGTGTTTTCCTCACATCCCCTCGATGAAAAACATTCATTTTTTTTTTAACACTAGCAGAACAGCTCTAAAGAGTCATATCATTAGCCAATTCCAATTCCAGAATGGCATATTCCCAGGGACAAGGCACCCAGTTGTCGCTCTCATCTTTAACGGAGCATACTTCTTCCCCTCTCTGCTGTAGGATGCTTTCTTATCAAAAACGACCTCACTAACTCAGAATCCAAGACCTGATGCTAGCAGATGACTTTATTCAATACGTCATCCTCTCTCTGTCTGGGTGCAAAGAAGAAAATGTTTTGAAATGGTTGGATTAAAGATAAACATGTCTTTCCTTGCACTTTCAAAACATTCCCACTCCCTTGGAAAGAGTGTGTTGTCATACCCTGGTAGTATTTGACCAAGGGGGGAGGGAGGTGGGGGGGGAAGAGGAGAAGCATTTGACTATAACCCAGAAAACTGGAGGTGGAATGAGGAATTAATTTCAAAATTACAGCAGGGGTGGAAAAGAGGCCAAGAAACTGAAATGTCTAGCGTCTCGTCTCTAAAACTAGGGTAGATGTGACTGGCTTGTGTAAACTGGCTCTTTTCTCCTTTTGTCCGGTCCAAAGTTCTGTCTGCACAGTGAGTACCAAAATTACTACAAACTAACTTTAGTGTTCATGTAAATAGCACCTAGCCCTGGATGAGCTAGGGTTGGGCTGGCTATCCCCCTGTGGGACGATAAAACCAGATGACCAAAGCTTATAACCAACCAAAATCCTCGTGCCCTCATCCAAATGATCTCCAAAGACCTAGTTTATAAAATGCTGAAGTGTGAAGAGTCATAAGAAAGGGCAGGGGACGAAGGATCTTGGGCGGCTCTTGGAAGGATGTATGACTGGCTCACCTTGTTGAAAAATGTTGAGTTCCCTTAGTAAGGGCCCAGCTTTTAGTTTCCTTGGCTTCCTTCAGAGCTCAGCCTATCTTCCTGCTAGAGCCCTCCACTCTGAGGTTACTTTGCGTCTCCTGTGTGTACCAGTTTGTTGAAATGTTGCCTGCTCCCAGTAGAATGTAAGCTCTTTGAGGGCAGGGACCACATTTGCCTTTTCTTTGTATTCCCGGTGCTTAGCACAGTGCCTGACATGTAGTCAACCCTTAATAAATGCTTTGACTTGACTTGGCTGATTGGCACAGATGCAAAATTATGCCAAATGCTGATGAAACTTCACCTAACCAACGCTTCCAGTCAACCCCTGGAAGTTGCCAGGTGGAGTAATGGCCATGGAGCCTGAGTTAAAATCCTGCTTGAGACACTTACTAGCTGTGTGACCCTGGGCAAGTCACTTAACCTCTCTCTACTTCGGTTTCCTCATCTGTAAAATGAAACTAATAATAGCACCCTTCTCACAGGATCAAATGAGATAATAAATGTAAAGCACTTTGCAAACCTGAAAGCACCGTATGGATACTATCCTCCAACCCCAGGGCTCATCATTGTTTCCACTGTACCTTACTGGAAATCTCCACCCCTGATTCCACATTAGGTCATGTAGCAACAGTTGGACATGTGTGCTCCCCATGCTTGCTCCCTCTCCTCCTACTGGACCAAACGCTCCAAATTTCCATATATATTAATAGTATTCCATCTGAGGGCCAGGGTGCCCTACCCCATGAAATGCTCTCAAGATACTTGGGGGACTACTTGGGCCTTTGGTGACTAGTACTTGGTGTTGAGGGCTCATTGGGTTCTTAGGTTCTCCCTCTATTTTTCCATTAGATGCTAGTCTGGCCCTGTTCGGCTCATATAGGGGCCACTTGGCTTTCCTCTTCCCCCCTACTCCATGTTGCATGGGCTTCTGTTTCTTTAGGGGGATTTTGTTCTTCTTTCTATAAACAGCTTGAAGCAAAATATGTATCTTTTCCTGGAACTTCTTCTCCGTGGTTTTTCCCATGTTTACTTGGGCATTCAGTTCGAAATTAATTTTCTTCTGAGAGGTCACCTCTAGGTTATTCTGCTGTATAAACTCCCAAATCCTATGTAGCTGTCTTTCTTAGATGTCTTTCATTGGAACTCGTAGTTCTCATGGAATTACAAGACCAGAAAAAACCCCTCCATACGTTACTTAGCCCAATCCTCATTCTCCATGAAAGACTATTCACACCATCCCAGAATAATTCCACCCATTAAAAAAAATTCATGTCCTCCATGTTTCGATAAAGTAGTCTGTATACTAGGAGAAGTACTAATTGTGAAAACAAAGATCCTGCTTGATGGTGAAGACCTCCATGTATTCCATCACTTGACTCTTGATTTTCTAAGCACCTTTAAAGATACTGTTATTATCAGCATTGTTGTTATTATTTTAAAGATTGGGGGGCAGCTAGGTGGCACAGTGGATAAGCTCTGGCCGTGGAGTCAGGAGGTCCTGAGTTCAGTTCCAGCCTCCGACACGTAAGACTCACTACCTGTGTGACCTGGGCAAGTCACTTAACCCCACTTGGCCTAGCCAAAGAATAAATAAACAAATGGAAGAAAGCAAGAAAGATCAGGTTTTCCTATCTTGCCTAGGCTGCCAGAAGTACAGGGGACACTCATAGCCAGATCCCACTACTAATTGTTCAACTTTGACCTGCTCCTTTTCCAACCTGGGACAATTCATTCCTGGAGAGAAATTCTTATAAATCTAACTTTAAACATCAACAGTAAAATGTATTGTCTATCTACATTGGAAGACATGAATTTTAATATTTAAAATATCTATTTTAATGTAATTTATTAGTTACTTTTTATGTATATCTTCTCTTTACTCCATCCCCCTCCCCTGAAAAAAAGTTTGAATTTTATACATCTGGTTTTACACAGAAGAAACGCAAGAAAAGCTTTAATATCATAAAGTCACAGAATCTAAGAGTTGAAAAGGCTCTCTTGGTCAACTTGTAGCCAGACAAGAATCTATAAAACACCTGGTGAGAGGTCATCTGGCATTTTCCTGTAGGTCTCCAGTAAATGGGTGCCCACTACCTCTGGAAGCAGCCCAACTTGCTTCTCAAAAGCTCTCCTCAATAAGAATTTTTTACTTTATAGGGAGAGGTTTTTTTTTTTTTGCAAGTTCATTTCTCCAAATTCTGTCTCCGGGGGTCAAGCAAAACAAAACTGAAACCTGTTTACAAGAGACTTTAATGTAACTTTTAACCTTTATCCTTCATTTCCAGGCAATGAAGCCCCACTCCCCCCTTCACTGTCTTAGCTGACCTCATCTGGGTAGGTTCCAGTTTGGAAAATAGTCCTAGGGGTAGCTAGGGTGGGACAGTGGATAGAGTGCTGGAGAAAGACCTGAGTTCAAATCTTGCCTCAGACATTTACTAACTTTGTGATCCTGGGCAAGTCACTTTAACCACTGCCTCAGTTTCCTCATCTGTAAAATGGAGATAATAATTGCCCCTTCAGGATCAAATTTGTAAAGTGCTATAATAGGCACTTATGGAGCAGCTAGGTGGTAAAGTGGATGGAATGCTGGGGTTGGAATCAGGGAGATGAATCTCCCTGAGTTCAAATCTGGCCCCAGACATTTATTAGCAAATAACCCTGGGCAAGTCATTTAACTCCACTTGCCTGTTTCCTCATCTGTAAAATGAGCCTGCCAAGGAGATGGCAAACCTTTCCAGTATCTTTGCCAAGCAAACCCCAGATGGAGTCATGGAGAGTCAGAAATGACCAACAACAAAAACATAGTAAGCACTTAGTAAATGCTTATGATTTTGGGAATTTGATTCCATTCAATAAACATTTATTAAGTGTCTACTGTATACAAAAGTACTTTGGCAGTTGTTGGGCACACAGAGTCACAAACAAAGTAGCCCTCGACCTCAAGGAGCTTATATTCTGCTAGGTGGAATATAGCAGGTTTAGAAATACAAGGGAGAGGCAGCTAAGGGATGATGCGGATGGAGCACTAGCCCTGGAGTCAGGAGTAGCTGTGTTCAGGTCTGGCCTCAGACACTTGATGCTTACTAGCTATGTGACCTTGACCAAGTCACTTAATCCTTGATTGCCTCACAAAATATATACATACACACATACACACACACACACACACACACACACACACACACACATACACATATACATATATATACATATATATACACACATAGATATATATATACACACACATACACACACATATATATACATATATATACACACACACATATAGATATATACACACACATATACATATATATACACACATATATACATATATACACATATACATATACATACATATATATACACACATACATACACATAGATATATACATACACACATACACACATATATACATATATACATGCATATACGCACGTATACACATATATACATATATGTACATACACACATATACATATATACACATATACATGTATACATATATACACATATACATATATACACACACATATACACATATACACATATATACACATATACACGCACATGCATACATATATGTGTATGTGTATGTATATATGTATATATATACATATATATGTGTGTGTGTATACACATATACACACATATATACACATATACACGCACATGCATACATATATGTGTATATATATGTATATATGTATATATACATACATATATATGTGTGTGTGTGTGTGTGTGTGTGTGTGTATATATTCAAGGAAATTGAAGTGGCAAAAGTGCTAACAACTGAGGGAATCTAGGTGGTGTCTGAGCTGAGCTTTAGCCTAAACGTAAATGTACTCTGACAAGAGCAAAGTATTAAAAATAAATAATTTTTTGAAAAGAGCAGAACACAGCAACAAACTTATCCTTTCCCTCCTCTATGGCTCTAGGCTTCTCTCAATGGAGCCTTACAATCACATTAACTCTCTTGGTCACCATAGCCCCCTGTTGACTCATATTGACCTTGCAAGCTATTGATACCCAACCTAGATAATTCTTTTTTCAAATGAACTGTTACTTAGACACACTCTCATCCCATACTGAAGTTGATTTTCAAATTAAGTATAAGACTTTACATTTATTCTGGTAAATATTAATATTAATTATATTTAAAAGTAATTTTAAAATGAAATTAACTTCATCTTCTTAGATTCTTTTTGATCACTGCTTTCCTTTCTAAAGCTATCCCTTTAATAATACAGCTTGGAATTTTGCCAGGATTAACTGTCCTATAACATGCCTAAAATATGTTAATGTTATTGTTATGACCAGCACCTGTGGTTAGACCATTCCAAAGATGGTACATTTGTGGTAAAGAAACATATAGATATACATATATATACACCCACACATACATATGTACATATACATCAATGTGTATAGTGCATACATACATATACTGCCTGGCATATTACTTCCTAATTATGTAAGCAGGCCATTTTCCCAACTCACAATCTTAAACTACCAACCTTGACCTAGGGAGAGTGTCATTAAGATGTATTAAAACACCCCACATTGAACTCATATGTTGATTCGTTGGGGAAAGCTATCACCATTGGGTTGTATACAAAATGGGGATTGAGTAAAGATGGGGGAGAGCCTCCTAGAGATCTCACCTTTTATACAGAATGAATGCTGTATGGGTTAAATTTTTTCCCCTTAGAGGACAAAGGCCTGTGATACACTGGAAAGAGTCAGAGAGCTCGAGTTCAAATCCTACTTCTGACACTTACTACCTGTGTGACCTTGGGCAAGTCATTTAGCTTCCTTATCTATAAAATCAGGAATTTAGGTTATATGGTTTCTGAAGTTCCTTCCAGACCTTGGTTGGTGATCCTGTCATTCTATGATCCTCAACAAATCCTCTCTTAAAGAGCAATATTAGTGTTGTCTTGGTAGGCCATCATTTCTCCAAGGAGGCTATCCCAGATATGCACATAAACCCACTGGCTCCCAATACAGTAATCAAAACAGAAAGTCTTGCTTAACTAATTATCATCCACAATACAAATTGAAACAGGATCTTAATTTATGTGTTTGTTCAGTGAAAGACATGTCAAACCTTAACTTATAGACTTGTATAACAAACTTTGGCAACTTAATTTAGACCACAAAAGCGAACAGATCATTTGACAGCTTCTTGGTGCTTTAAATCTTAAAAATTCCTCTCCCATAGAACAGCACAGCACTGAGCTCTGCAGGAATTTTCCCCTTCCTGCCTTAACATTATTACATGGTTTTTTCTTACCAAGGTCAAATCCAGATGCACCAGCTGATGACATAAAAACCAGATACCCAGCAAAAGCCAGTTCTGCACTTGCCAAAAATAGCATAAAATGGTGGTAATATTTCCACTGTCCTTTCTGAAAACAGATTTATTTTTTCACAGGCTTTCCATCCACCATAGCCACCAAAAGTGGCAGATGAAAGAGGTATTAATAGAGCAGTGAATACATGGGCATATGTAGGACAAAACAGAAATAAAGAGGAGAACGTCAGCCACAGTTAGGAAATGGGAATTCAAGAACAATTAAATTAAATCCATGAATTAACTTAATTTTAATTTATAATAATTAGTTAATTAAAATTAATTATTAACTAATAGTCACAGTAGGTTAAGGAAGCTTGAGTTTGGGGAGGGTAAGGCGAGGCTTGTACACTCCTGGCCTTTTGAGCTTGTGGTCATGGAGTCCAACCACCTCCTCTCATATGTCATTATCCCATATAACATCCCAGTTACAGCAAACAATAGGCTAGCCCAGGGGAATTTTTGTAAAGTTTGGATTCAGTGAAAGGGCTGTGCTCGAGGGCCTAAAGGGCACATGTGGCCTCTAGACCACTGAGTCCCCACCCCTGGATGGATGACCCATATGTCTGACCAATGTTGCGATTCTGATGTTTTTTATTGAAACACCAAGACAAATTCCACATATTATTTTATTATAGTATTATTTTATATATTATAGTATAGCATTAATTTAATATATAATATATATTTATAGTATAGTATACCAACTATAATAATAAAATAATACCATAATATAATATAATTTCATAAAATAATATGTTAGGCTTTTAAATGATGATTTCTACATCATTAAGTTTTCTTCCCTATCCCTACCTGCCACTCGCTCTAGTTTTACTCTGTGTAGCCAGCATTTGCAGAAATGTGTAGGGATAGCTGTATGGTAAAGTAGAAAAAAAAATCCCCAGATCTCTTACTATTATCTGTATGACCTTGGGCAAATCACTCAATTCAATTTAATTCAACAAGAATTTATTATGTACCAGGTACTGAGTTAGGTAGTATGATCCAAAGACAAAAAAAAATAACCCAGACATTGTCTTCAAGGAACTTACATTCTACTGAATGGAAGCACTTGGGCCTCTCTTTCCTTATCTAAAAAATAGTGAGGGATGGTGAGGAGGAGGGTGGAGATGTACAAGGATTTCTAAGGTCTCTTCTAGTTTGAAATCCTATGAGTAAGTGATGCTGTCCCCTGGAATAGTTTTCAACATTCTGTTACAAGTATGGATATATTAATAAGGATCTGCTTTTCTAAATAATCTCTCTCTCTCTCTCTCTCTCTCTCTCTCTCTCTCTCTCTCTCTCTCTCTCTCTCTCTGTCTCCTCTCTCTCTCTCTCTCTCTGTCTCCTCTCTCTCTCTCTCTCTGTCTCCTCTCTCTCTCTCTCTCTGTCTCCTCTCTCTCTCTCTGTCTCAGACTGTTTACTTTCAGTGAGTTTGATCTTCTAAAAACAACACTATACTGGGTCTACCTCCAACTAAACCTCAGACTTCAGTCAATTCCAATCTATGAGGCTGTCCTGGCATTTTTTAACAGGTAATAAACTTCAAATGTTAATGTTATTATGGAAAACAATAGCAGTAACAACACCTTTCAACGGCATGACTTCCCTTGAGATGAAGGAACTATAACCTTCTGAAGTAAGAAGAGAATGCAATTTCATTATGGGACATAAGAGTGGGGGATGTATTTTAGCAAATAACTTACTTGGAAACATAAATATAGCTGTTATAAGAGGACCATATGTTCTACAAATTTGTTTTATGTTCAATAATAAACAGTATGTAGTAGGGATATATATCAGAAAAGAAATACTATACTGGTCTTAAAATATCTTATGTTTGAAATGTATTTTAATTAGGTTATCCTTATTCAAACTACACTAGCAGAACAGAATACTATGTGGTTACTGAGCAATTAAATATGAATGTTTAGAAAGGATGATGATTGTGAGGTCAGAAGATTGAGGTTGTGTCTCAGCTCTTGACAGCAATTAACTGTGTAACTTTGAATCAGTCACTTCAACACTTTTTCTCACTTATGCAAAATGTGGGACTTAGACTAGATAATCTCTAGGCTAGTGGTTCTCAGACATTTTGGCCTCAGGACCCTTTTATGCTCATAAAAATTATGGAGGATCCTAAGAACTTATGTTTATATGGGTTATAACTACTAATATTTATCATGTTAGAAATTAAAACTGATACATTTTTAAAATAATTGTTTATTAAACCAATGTCTATTACATGAATATAAATAACATATTTTAATGAAAAATATCTATATTTTCCAAAACAACAGATATTTAGCAAGAAGAGTAGCATTGTTTTACATATTTTTGCAAGTCTCTTTAATGCCAGGCTTAACAGAAGATAACTGGGTTCTCATATCTGCTTCTGCATTACTATATGTTGTTTTGGTAGAAGTACATGAAGAAAATCCAGTCTCATGCAGTTATGTCCCTGGAAAAGGGAAAGGAGTATTTCAACAGGCAAATAGTTTTACCTCTGACCCCCAGAAAGGATCTCAAGGACTCCCAACAGTCCGCAGACCACACTTTGAGAACTGCTGCTCTAGGATTTCTTTCAGACCAGGCATTCTATGAGTCTTTGGTTTTCCAAACCCATGTTTCATAATGATCATTTATCACTCACATTGAGAGGAATGAAAGAAAGTCTTTAAGTCAGAAACTAACCTGACCAATGAAAAGTACCTAGGGCATAACCATAGAACCTGGAGCACCGTGATGATAGATAGATAGATAGATGTCACAGGCACGTGTGGTGTTGGGAGCCTAGAGCAGTGCTGTGGGCTCTTAGGCAGGATTATGGGCAGGATAGCTTAGAATGGTACCTTAGGGGCATGTCAGTGTTCCCATGATCTTTTTAGCAGTCCTCTACCAGTGTCAATTGCAGTCTATCACACCCAGTCACTAGGGTGGGATTCACCCAATGTGATACCAGCCTTTCTCTGTTCTTTAAAAAATATTTTTAAAAAATTTTTTTTAGTATTTCAAGGGTACCATGTAAACATTTGGGCCATCTCTCTATTGTCTCTTGCTCTTGCCAAATGGCCCATCTCCTTTTCCATTCATTCCAGTGTTTGATGATGCCTTATTTCTAATTTCTTCATGCAAATAATTTTAAATAACATCTGCACCTGCTTATACCTTATCTAGTCTTTCTATTGCTCTTTGGGTCACCTGCAGTTATGGCTTTTCTAAGGTTGTGGTCTTCCGTTATCTTCAGTTATTAACTAACTTTTCAGAGGCTGCGGAAAAAAGAAGGAAATAAAATAACATTATTGTTGTTCTACATAGCAAGTCTGGAATCCTCAGTTTTTTCAGCTCCAATTACTCAGTCATTAAGTATTTATCGAGTAGCTACAGTATGCCAATTGTAGATCTGGTTGCTATGATATAAAGACAAAAATGATATGTACATATTCCAGTACATAAAAAATTAAATTTTTAATTAAGTTGATTTAGGGGGAGAGCACTAGCAGCTGGGGGTGGGGGTTGGGCATCAAGGAAGACCTGATAGGAAAATAGTGCTGAAGTTAAACTTTGAAGGAAACCAAATATCATAAGAGACAGTGGTAAGGAGGAAGTGCATACCAGGCCCAAGGGGGTCTGCCAGTACAAAGGTACAGAGATGGGAGAAGTAAGGCCATATATAGGGAATGCCAAGGAGTCTGGTTTGGCTGGACTGCAGCGTGCATGAAGGGAACTAATATGTATAAAGTAAGGCTCAAAAAGTAGTTTGGGGCCAGGTTGTGAAGGACTTTAAATCCTAAATAGAGGTGTTTATTTTTGGCCCTGCCAATGATAGGGAGACGATATAATTTAATGAGTAGGGAAGAGACATGAATAGATTTACACTTATGAAAAATCATTTTGGCCACTGTGTGAAGGATGGATGGAAGAAGGGGAGAGATGATATAAGAAGGTAAATTAGGAGGCGATTGCAATAGTCCAGGCAAAAGGTCACGAGGGCCTAAATCAAGACAGTGGTCATGGGACTGCTAAGAAGAAGATGCATGGGAGAGCTGTTTTGAGCTGTTTTGATGGGAAGAAATGACAAGATTTGGCAACTGAATGGAACTATGATGTGAGTGAGAGGAAGGAGCTGAGTCCTTAGTTTCAAACCTGGGTAACTGGAAGGATGATAGGATCCTTGACAGAAACAGGGAAGGTCAGAAGAGGAGAACGTTTGGAGGGAAGGAAAATGAATCCTTTTTTGGACAAGTTTAGCTGAAGATACTTGTGTGAGATCCAGTTTGAAATTCCCAGTGGGCAATCAATTATGTAGATCTGGAGCTCAGGAAAGAGATTAGGTCCCAGAAATTCAGATCTGGGAGTCATCAAATGATGACATAGAGATGGTAATTAAACTCATGTGAACTAATGAGGTCACTAAGAGGATTCTGGGAGAGAAGAGAAAAGAGCCCAGGACAGAGCCTCAGGGCACACTTACGGAGAGAGGATTCATGACGGATGATGATCCAGCAAAGGGACAGTTAGACAGACAGGTAAGAGGAGAACCAAGAGAGAGCCGCATCACCAAAACACAGGAAGAAGAGAGCCTTGCGGAGGGGAGGGGAGTGACCACTGTCTACCGGGCTGACGTTGGGAAATCTTGTTCTTGGTAGAAAGGGGCTCTGAATGCGTATGCCTTCTCAGGCTCCAAGGTCGTGGGGTCATGGAATAAGAAGCATCCCCAGCCAAAGGCAAAAGTGGTAGGTTCTTCAAAGCTGGTGACCTAATTGCAGCCCTCATGACGTCGCCTTGGACTAGGCGGAGCATCCCAATGCCATCTGAGAGGCCAGGTCAGTTGAGGCTCCCCACAGGTTGCTGGAAGTCTAGAATTAGGAAAGTTCCCAGTTTGGGGTTCCCCAGGATGAGTTGAGACCACTGCACACCAGACTCCCTAGATCTCGGCCACATCTCACTGTATAACAATCACTGTGCCTTGATTATTCACAAGTCTACTCTTATATCGAATATAAACTACTCTTCACTTTTTTGTCTTGACAGCCCTAACATCTAACACAGTGCCTTGAACATAACAGGTACATAATAGACATTTACTAAATTAAATTCAAGTAGTAGTGTGATGTAATAGCTAGAAGAAGACGTAGGTTCAGGTCCCACTTCTGACACGTAGTTGCTATGTGACCTTAAGCAAGTCACTTAACTTCAGGATACTCTACACAACTCTTTAAGATCATATGTTACAGAGAAAGTGTCAATCTGCATTAGTAGAGGGAATTTCCTTAGCTGGGAGTCCCCATACCAATGAATTCACATATCTATTCCCTATCTCTATCTCTGGCTTTGTGCATTTAATAAACATCCGTTCTAGACAGCCATTTTTAACCGAAGTTCTTCTAGGTTGGTGTATCATTTGAAAGCAATGAGTCAGATTTCTGGAACTGCTGTGTACCATGTTGACTAAAGCATCCATCTTTAATGCCTTCTTTTTGGGGCCAGCTGTCAGAATTACACACATTTTGCTCTATTTCTTTGTATGTTGCTTTGAACCCAAGTGTTTACACATTCTATTTTTTTTTTCTTCCTGATACCCCATGAGACATTCTTTCCTATGAGTTATATACACCATAAGAAATTTCTGTTTGGCTCAAAGTTAGGCTGTCATTTCGGAACAACATCTCCACACTAAGAGATAGGAAATGAGCTAAAATGTGAATGATTCATAGGGACTCTGGCTGTGTTTACTGTGGGAGAAACCAATGGGAAATAAGAAAATTATGGTGTGGGTCTCCCTCCATTTATTACATGACAGTGAGCATCATTTGGTGTGGCCTTATATGCCATTCCTGAGCACGTGTTCAAAGGCTATTCCTGAATTTTAGTACAATGTGCATGTATTTTTTCCTTTCAAGCACAGCTTTTTATTCTTCATGAAGATATCTTGATTGGATTCTTAAAACCACATTAAAAGCAGCATGTGGTACTATGCATTGATTTAAAGCCCTTTTGAGATACAGTCTCTTTAGATCATATAATCCTATTGTATTTTATCTTATTATACTGCATTTCATTTTTCCCTGAGGTTTCTAATGCCATAACTCAAAGAAAATCATGTCTCTTGAGGCAATGAAACTGTAGTTACTTGGATATTTGGTTCAGAAGCTTCTAATGCCATTTTCCTGGTGGCTTCTACCGCCATTACCCCCAGCTGGTCATTTTATGATGTCCTCTTCCCTTCAGCAGGAAGCACAGTGGGAAGAGAGAGGGTTAGGTTACTAATTAGGGGGTTTTAAACCCTTGGGCACTCTAAGCCTCCAATTCCCTTCTTGCTTCTTGTAAAATGGGAATAGTGGTACTACAGTACCTACTTCGCAAGGTGGTTGTGAGGATTAAATGAGATTACATATGTAAAGCACTTCAAAAAATTTAAAGCCCTCTATAATACTATTCTCAGCATAGAAAAATACATAGGATCATAAAGAAAACCAATTACATTAAAATGTGGTTATTAACCAAAATGTCAAGTTCACAGACCCCAGGTCAA